GAAGTCAAAAATAGTCAGAGTATTGCAAATTTATACATTTGTCAAAAAGATGTATATGCATGTAGATACTTGAAAAACGACAACGGCGGGTTTTCAATATCTTAGATACACTGTTCAAGTTGTCCACTTAGATTATTTAAAGATCATAAAAGTCAAGTTCTAGCTAATTGTTGTCAGGCTTCAAGACTAGTGACACTGCATACTCAAATCTGCAGAAGAGATGCCTACAAGAGATAGTAGGGTTCTAAATTTCTAATATACAGGCATTTTCGAACTTTAAATGAACATTTACATTCCAATCATCTTCCCAACCTTTCTATGTTAGCATTGATTACTCATTTACTTACAAAGAAAGTTTAAATTGTTTTCTATTTGTTTCTAGAGAATGAGAACACAAATATTGGCACGAGGGAGAATGACTTTTGTTATGTTTTTTTTCCGCTTTATAGAGCTATATATGTCACCAAATTATCAAGATATTCTACATAACCATTTTTACATGCACCACCAATGTATGAGAAACAAAACCAAGTGAAAGAAATCTGAGTGAGTACCAAGGAAATGAAATACTGAACTAAATTTGAGCGAAAAGCTACTCACTTTCAGAAAACATGAATAAAACGACATCAGGCAAACTTACCCTAAAGCTATAGGTCCTGATATTGATGTATCACCAACTTTATCTATCTTGCGTAGCACTGCATTGCTGTAAGAAAACACCAGAAGATTCATAACAAATGGTTAGAGAAAGAATGTAACTCATTTTCCTAAAAATAAATAGAAGCCTACTTCATGTGTCGAGAATGTTGAGAGAGAGAGAAAGATCTTGCGGCACTGTATCTACGACCAGAACTGTCGAATGTCGAACCACCCATCTTGGTTGATGAAACTCCTTTTAAGTAATTCAGATCCGTATTATAACCTAAAAGACCTTTATCTTCTATTTTATTTCTACAAAATTTCAAATTTTGATCTTCCGTCCTAAAAATTAGAGTAGAGGAGCGGAGTTATATAACTATGCAGTCATGACCACAACATGCAACTAATAAGGAAGTCTCAACAAATTTTAAAGTCTTCGGCCTCCCAAAAAAACACGGGCTTGAAATTTATGGGTCAACCTG